GACTACTATGGAAGTGTTTTGCATGACTACACATGTATAATCTGTATTGAGTTCCTGGCCTTCTCAATGAGGGTGAGTGGGGAGGGAGGAAAGGAGAAAATGTGGAACCCAAAGTTTTAAAAACAAATGTTAAAAATTGTTTTCACATGCAACTGGGAAATAAGACATATTGGCAATGGAGTATAGAAATCTATCCTGCCCTACAGGAAAATTGAAGGGGGAGGGGATAAGAGAAGTGGGGGGGAGTGGTGATAGAAGGTAGGGAAGATTAGAGGAAGGGGTATTCAGAATACATGCCATCTTGGGGTGGTGGAGGATTGAGAAGGGTAGAAAATTTGGAACTCAAAATCTTGTGGAAGTGAATGTTTAAAACTAAAAATAAATTAATAATAATTTTTTATGAAAAGAATATATTGTGAATTGAATATGCTGTGAATACTAATGCAACTTGGACTTTCAATCTATAATCCATAATTCTCAATGTATGATTGATTCATTTCTTTTTCAGGTCTTGTGTACTTTATGGAGTCTTTTGTATCACTACTTGTATACAAGTCATCATTGGTAATATGGAAATACATCAAAGAAAACAGACAACAAATAGATATGAAATGGACCAGATCTGCCAGTATTATTTCTTTAGCAAGTTATTTTCTTCATGGATAAGATTCGAAGAGCCACATTTGGACTCTAACACCTCAAGACATGATGAAGATATAGAAATGTCTCTCAAAAAAAGGAAGACAAAAACAGTAGCTGTAACTGACCAAGTACACTCAGACGAAATCCATGCTGGATGTGACACAATTTTTAAAAAATATTTCAATGAATAATTTTTCAGATAGTTTGAAGAGGATAAAGTTTCAAAAGAATGGGAGTAATTACAGGTGATATTATTACACAGAGAGAAAGACACACACACAAAGAAGGAATGAAGATGTTATCAATAACCACTGAAGTAATTTAGGGATAACAAATAAAGATTTCAAGAACCCAACTGATGACCTACTTATCTGACAAAATTCTAGCACAGGAAGAAACAATTATATCTATCTATTTATCTGTATCTGTATATGTAATATAATAAATCATATATGTATGTATGTGTAAATATAGCTCTCTTAATACTAATGGTAGGGATGTTTTATATGTATATATGTATGTAAATATGTATATACATACATAAAATCCCTAGCCATTACAGCTAATGAATTTGACCTATGCAACTGTGGGGAGAGGTCTCATGATACAGTAGAAAAGGTACTGGATTGAAGTCAAAGGATTTGGGTTCAAACCCTAGCTTTGTTCTTTATTGCCTAGAGAACTTGGGAAAATCACATTCTCCTCTGCGCCTTTTTTCTCATATGTAAAATGAGAGTATTGGATTAGATGACCTCATGATTTCCAAGGATCCTTTCAGTTCTAAATCTATAACCTATGATCTGCTCAGACAAATTTTTGTCCTGTTAACTTTTTAAAAAATCCTAGAACAGTGTAATCCAACCTTGTTTCACATTTTCCATAATAGTTTATTTTATAATAGCTGCTTGATTGAAAAGTATTTATAAAAGTTATTAAAGATAACATTGCCACAAATAATATTAAGCCAAACCCAGAGTGGCAATTAAGCTAGATGCTAGAAACTAATAAATCTAGCAGTTCTTTGGTTCTTAGGTTTATATGGCTTTAAGTCTCAAATTCAGACTCAGGAGTTCACATTTAAAAGTAAGTTCCTTTCCTCTTTCCTCCTATATCTTTTCCTACCCTATTCATGTTACTGAAAGTTAAGCTGAAATTTAGGAGAAAGTTTTGACATATGTATGCATAAAAAGAAAGAAAAAAACCTTCCCAAAATCTTTACTGATTTATTTGTCTTCTTCAAGGTCTATACTATTATGTTAAATCACCTCATTTAATAACAACTTTGTGAAATACTTGGTCCTCTCACTGTATGTGATTGCCATCTTTAGATTCTCTTCCTCCCCATCCCCCCACTCCATGAAGATATAGGACAATCTCTTCTCTCTTTCACATCTGCCATCAGGGACCCAGATACAGTGGCTTTCAATCCACAGCAGTCTAGGAGCAGAATCCAACATCACTAGTTAGACAAACTTTTTTCCTGTCAAGTCATTGTGCTGCTGAGAACTTTTCACTGTGGGGCAGTGGAATCTATGTTCACATTAAAGTGAGCAAAAGCTTTTCCTTGTCTCAGCAGCAGTTTTGTTTGGAGATGAGACTACTATACGGTCACTACAGGGTTTGTATGATGTACTTATACAGGGTGATTCATGTTTTTTCTATACCTTATCCAAGCATATGGCTAAGGGAGAATAGTATGGTAATTATTCATACCAGAGGAGCAAGATCCCAGAATCAAGAGAAGAGAGCAGGGCAGGGAAGGAAGTAAGAGTCAGTCCTGCTTAAGCAGTCCAAGAAGTAAAACGCTGCCAAACCACACTTTTCTGTTCCCAGAAACCCTATCACTCCAAGTCACACTTCCATCTCCAAGGCTAGGTCTTAGTATCTCTGTTGCTGAAACTCTGGTATCTGCGTCCCCCAAATCAGCTTTTCTAGCTCCTGGTTAGGCTCAAACATGCAGCTCACAATAGAAGATACCACATTACTATCTGGAAAAGAATTTGGGCTTGGCGATCCTTTGCAAGTTTCCAAACCCTGCTGTTATCTCCACAATTTCCTTGGAAGGTTTTGTGGCACTTTTGATTTCCCTCATCCTATGTTAAGAATCTTGAGTTCTGAAACGGGGATGCATTGCAGAGGAGTAATAGATGTATGGCATCATCCTAACTCCAGAATCAGTGTGATGCAGTGGAATTAGCAATGAACTCGAGAGAGGGCTCAACTTGTCATCACTGAATGTGAGTTCAAATCTTGACCCTGCCACTTTCTACCTATGTGACCTTGGGCATGAAACTTACCATTTCTGATCTGCAGTTTCTTCGTCTATAAATTGAGGGGGTTGGACTAGATAACTATTAAGGCTCCTTCTAGTTTTGCTTTTTGTTCCCTTGTCCCTAAACAAGAGGAAATCTAAGGCAGCTTCACTGAGATGCCAGCCACTGCGTTTTCCAAGAAATCTGAATCTTACATAAAATGCAGTATCTCTATTTTAGATAACATCACCATACATTAAAAAAACTGTTGGTACGCAACGATAAAAAAGGAAGTACTCAGGCCCTTAGACACTTATCTTACATGAGCTTCTGCTGTTCTTTATAGTACAAAATTGATTGGCTTCACTTTAATTGATAGACTGTTACGACTGTTCTCTTCAAATTTAGGATCACAGAATCACATATTTAGAACTGGATGGGAACCTGGAGTTCATCTAGTCTAACCCTCTCCTTTTACAAATAAGGAAACTAAGGCAAAAGAAAGTAAGTGTCTGGTCTAAGATCACACTAAATGATCCAGCTCCACTGAACTCCAAATCCAGTGTTATTACATATGACTGTAGAAATGGGTTAAACTATATTCCATTTCTGACTATATGCCTAAGGTATCCTTATATAGCTTTATGAATACTGTCCCTCACCCTCACAACATATAACACATAGAGCTATTAGATAATTGAGGAACCAGACAAAATAATAGGATCAAGTCAATGGTTTTCCTAATATGGATCCATCCTTGTATCACTGATATAAATCCGAACTTGATCATAATGAATACTTTTTTTCATAAAAATAAGACAAAATAAACATACAGCTACTATTGGATCTAATCAGGGAGCCATTGATTTTGACATTTTGGTCAATGATTTGTTTGTATGTGTTTGTATGTGTATGTATGTGTGTGTGTGTGTGTGTGTGTGTGATTGTGCTCATGCATGCATGCACTCCCTTGTGTGCTCCAGTGTTCTTTTCTCCAGTAGATTGCTTCCTTTCTTATCCTGGACACATTAATTTTGTTTGCACAAAAGCTCTCCCAATTCACATTATTAAAATTATCTATTTTATCTGTTGTAATTGTCTCTATCCCTTATATTAAGAATTTGCCTCTTATCCATAGTTTTGAAAGGTATACGATCTCTTCATTTTTTCTGGTCTGTTTTTTTATGCTCATGTATGTTCATATGGTCATATAGCCATTTTGAAATTTTTGTGAAATGGGGTTTAAAATCTTGGTCTAAGAATAATTTTGGCCAGATTGTTTTCCGGTTTTTCCAGTAATACCTATCAAATAAAGAGTTTTTCCCTACATATAGGTGATTTCAGGTTTATTCAACTTTAGGTAATTGAGTTCCATTATTTCTGATTCTCTCTTTTTCATTGGGGAGTGCCCTAAGAAATAACTGTTCAGATGAACAGCATTAACTACATCAGCTTACAGTTAAATAAAAAGTTAACTACCATCAACTTAATAAGTCAGTGTTTTCCAGCAATAAATGGGAAACAAAAGAAAAACTAATGTTAGAATGAAAAAAAATTGACTTAAAATAAGTGACATATCCTTTTATTATAACTTATTAAGAGATTTATCATTCGACCAATTTGTCATATTGTAATTCTAGATTTGTTTTAAATTTTCAAGTAATACTACAAATTCACTTTCAGGGGCTAACTTTTAAAAGCTAGCATTTCTTCCATATTTATTTCTATAAATATATTTAAATTAAGAAAAAATATAAAATGGTTGTTTTTATAGTAATCTAAATACTTGTCACTGATTCACTGCCTACTCTTTTGAAAACCATTCAACCACCATCTTGCCAAGGTAAATATGAATAAACTAAGGGACAGGGAATCTGTACCTTTGTATCTTTGGGTGTCTGGGAATCTTACTTCAAGAAATAAAATTAGAAAATAAGTTAGCAAGAGAGCATTACTGAGTGCTTCCTTCATAATAAAATTGCCCTTAATAAGGTAGGTTGAATTTTCATATACACTAATTATTGGCTCCCATTCATCTCCAGTTTTATTCCAATTACAATTCGTTATTAATATCCCTAGGGAAACATCAGTTTGGTAATTACTCACATGCATCTCCTATTGTCTCCACTTTGTAGACATCATAGCTATCTATAATCTCGTCAAAGTTAGTATATAACTTGTTGAGGAAGTCTACAACTTGATATGGTGTGCTGGTGCTAGATAGTTGAGTGAAGCCAACAATATCACTGGAGAGGCACAGGGGAAAGAAAATAGTTAAGTCAGGCAAGGCATGTGACAAGTTCTGATAAGCATAGCTGCCTTCTTGTTCAGCACCATTTCCTTCAGCTTTAAGAAACACAACTCAGAGGGATTCAGCTGGTGACCAGCTGAATGTTTTAAAATAAAGTTATTATGCTTTTTGCAAGATTACAATGGTATAACCAAAGCCCTCCCTCAGTCTGCCCAAATGGAAGGAAAATTAGCTCCAAACAGACTGTCTCAGTTTCCCCTTATCAATTAGTTTACTTGAATATTTAAAAATTTGTATGTACAGAGGCAGTTATAAAAGGCTGAACAATTTTTTAAAGGAAATCTATTTGTTTAGACTAAAGTTTCCAAATACATAACACATACATGATAGATCCCAGCACCAAGCACAGTGTGCCCTGCACACAGTTGATATTTAATAAATATCTGTTTAATTGAATTGTTAAAGAATCGAATCCTTTTTCAGTTGGTTTTCAGTGCCTCTATTATTTTTACGTAGACATTAGTTTGGTGCTGTCTTGGGTGTTAGATAGGGGTTCTCCAATATTACCATGGAAGGCACCTCATCAATGATTATGAACAAGTTACTTGATCTCTATGCCTCAATTTCTCTATCTGTTCAATTAATATAATGACATTAACTCTTAGTATTTCTTATATGTTTTGGGTTTAACAAGATGCTCTTACATAAATACAACTTCAGGCATTTCCACATGAGTGTTCAGAGCTGAGATTTTATGGATTTTTCTCAGAAATTCAAAGTTGCCCCCAAGCAAAACGAATTCTTCTCAGCTTCAGTGATGATACTGAAATTACCAATGTTCCCTTTGTTATTGCAGTGAAAAACTGAGTGACCTATTTACTTAAAATTTTAAAATATACATTTTCTGGAGGCCAAAATGAACCTTTCTAGAGTAATTTCCTGCTGTTTTTGCTAAAATGTATTCCTTTTAGCTCACTGAAGCTAGTTTATTTTTATGTTACATCTGCCTTAAAAGAAAAAAAATGAAACAAAACACTTATAACGAAATCACACCAATCAATTTTGAGTGCTATTTAAGTGGCAGTCTATAAATTTCTGCTGATATTTTATTTAAATAGCTGCATTTTATTCTCCATTTGTAGACATTATGTATGCCTCACCTTATAAAAGCAATACACAAATTGTAGAACTAGCTATATTACTGCATTTTGAAATGTAATTCTAAATCAAGTCACATTAACATACCTGAAAAAGATGGTTGCACTTAAGTAACTTTGGGCTTGTGGGAGTTTGCCTTGTCTTAGGTCGTCTGCAACTTGTTTGGGTAACATACCTGTTTTTGGATGTGAAAGATAATTGGTAATTATCATATCTTCATGAGAAGATGATCCTAACAGCCTTCTCTGTCTCTCTGTCTCTCTCTTTCTCTCTCTCTCTCTACCCTCCTCCTCCTCCTTTCCTCTCCTCTCTTCTCTCCCTGTAGAACATTACTATTTATCATCAGCAATTGCTTCCAAATAATGGAAGTAGGTCACTTAAAATTATGTTCCCAGTTGTAACAGATCTGTACTGATCCATATACACTCTTGTGACTAATATCATACTTTGTAAAGATGGAGTTAAAGGTAAAGCAGAGACTATGGCACAGAAAGATCATAACTGGCATGATGGGGATGGGATCTGAACCCCTAAAAGGAAAAGACCACATCTTTAGGATCTGGACCCCAAAAAGGAAAAACTCTGGACTTTTACACCTGGCCAAATCTCTGGTGCTCACTTGAGGCTAGAATCCTACCAACTGGCCTTTCATTGTGGCTACACCCAATCTCCCAATTCTGTTCTGTTACCTCTCAATTGCCCCTGGCCACTTCTCAGTCTTAATCCTATATAGACTCCATTCTCCCTTGGCCAAGTGGTCCAGGTCCCTAGCCTTTTGTTTATCCCACCTTACTGGCCACTCCATCCAGATCTTCCTTAAACCCCTCCTCCAGTCACCCCAAACTACTTGACCACTTCTAGATCCCTCCCACAGACTTTCTGTATATAAGGTCTATCTTGTCTCTAGTAAGGCGCTCAGATTCTTATAATCTAGCCAAATGTTCAGATTCTGAAGATCTGGCTCACCTGCATTAGTGATACAAATGTTTAGATTCCTCAAGAGTCTGGTCAATGTGGCAGATGTTATGATAAACCTTGTCTTTGGCTGAAAGAAGGCTTGGGTCAAATTCTTTTGGACAGGACCCATGTGTTGTGATTTTGAGGTCCCAGCACCCTTAGCATCTAAACCTCAACAGGCATATCTGGGACTTAAACCTCACGCTCTAATCCAAAGAGCAAAGCAGGCATTCATTACTTTGATTTATCATTTCCCTCCTTCCCCACTCTTTCTGTGTCCACCTGGTGGAATTGTTCTGTGAACTGATATTGAACAAAGTCAGTCAAACACAGTTCCTACATTCCAGGAGTCTGCAATGCCATAGACATTTTTTCTTTTAATTTATTTTCAATTTATGGAATAAAACAAGCATTTCCATAACATAGTGCAATAAAATAGATGATTGCAACTGAAACTGTAAATCTACTATGGACAACTTGCTATTCCTTCAAATATACAACAAAATATCATGTGAATTTCTTTTTTTCCTCTTTTTTATCTTCCCTTCCCCCATACTATAGAGATTGCTACCATCAGACACAATTAGGTATATACACATACATACATACATACATATACATATACATGTATATAATTATTCTATACATCTATTTATCAGCTCTTTCTCTGGATGCAGATAGTATCTTTCCTCATATGTCCTTTATAGTTAATTTGGGTATTTATGATAGACAAAATAACTTATTCACTCCAAGTTGTTCTTAAAACAATATTGCTGTTACTATATACAGTGTTCTCTTGGTTCTATTCATTTCACTCTCCATTATTTTTTGCAAGTCTTTGCATGTTTTTCTAAAATCATTGAAGTCATCATTTTTTATAGCACAAAAACATTCTATCACAATGCTATAAACATGTTAATCATTCAGAGAACTTATGGTTTTTGAGCCCTTGACATGCATTTTGTTCTTAAACTTAAAAGAAATACCACCCCAAAACAAAGGCTGTTTTTCTGTTTGTTTCTATATGAGCAGTTTTTGTGTTTTCCTCCCTTCCTAGACCTGTCTATTGAAATGTATGAGAAGTCTTAGAGCTCACAAAAGAAGGATTTCTGTGCTAACTACAGGGTAGAAACTATAACAAACATAGCGATCTACTGAGTACATTTAGTACTCATTTGGTTTGCAAGAGGCATAAGATCCCCTGGAGGGATAGAGGATGAATATTTATTTGAGTCTAATTATAGCAAAAAAAAATCTGACTTTACCATTATTTTAGTATGTGAAATAAGGTAATATTTTCATAACTCCTTCAGGAATTTCTATTTTACTAGGTTATAGTTCATATACATATTCATAATATGCTCTGGTAGTATGCTAAATGCTTTTTAAATGCTGTATACCACTGTTCTTTTGTGAAGAACTTCATTAATCACTGATTGGACATTTAATATATTTTCTTGTGTACTGTGGCTATACTGATTTGAGACATGTATTCAAAGGAGAATATTGATGATAATTGAAGTTTTTCATGGCTGAGAGTCATATTTACAAGTTTTCAGCCATGGTGAATGCTTCAGTCCTTCTAAGTTATAATCTATAAAAACAGCTCTAGAAAATTTGAATTTGATTCAACTTACTTGCTTTTCCACATTAGCTGGTATCTTTACAAGAGGACCAACCAACCCACTGACTCAGTCAGTTATAGCAAAAATTTAGCCAATTTTATATGACTCTGTCAAATCAGGTAAGCGATATATAGATACAACCTGTTTTTATCCTCCACATATGCTATATTCATTTGTTACTCAAAGTTTTTCTTCATGCTGTTCTTTTACCTGGAATGCCCTCTTTACAACAGACTCCACAAATTATATGCATCTTCAAGGCTCGGTTCAAGTCTTATTTCTCAGCATAACCTTTCCCAATAACACCAGTTCATGTTGATGCTAAATTATTCTAAACCTTTCCTTAGATCCAAAAGTCCTACATGGCTCCATTGCTTCAATGAAGCTTAATATTAAAAGACCATTCAGGTAACTTCTTTTTTATCATCCTTTGATCTCTTATAACAAATAGAAAGCTTAGTTAACTTGGGATTTGCTAGATTTTTTTCTCAAAGACCAAGCCTTAAACTCAATTCATTCTGGACCTCATGGATTGGACAGCAATAGGTCCCTTCCCTAGCACCACTTAATAGTTATATTTTGAGCTCTCCAGGTTCAGAGTGAATGTAAATAGTAACTGTTTCACTTTTGGTCAGAGACCCTGAGGGTCTTTCCCTCCCAGTTTGATTTATTTCTAATTGAAGGGGCCATACCTTGACTCATTTCTTAAGGAGGACTATTCATGGAAAAGGCATTGCCTCACTCAAAGTGAGAACCTGAACAGACTTCAAATCTTAAAGGTTAAAAAGGCCAAAGTCTCCCACTGCATCCTGGGCCATCTCCAGTCATCTTGATCAATATATAGCCACTGGCCCCAAATGGCTCTAGAGGAGAAAGTGAGGCTGGTGACTTTGCACAGCCCTCCTTCACTCAAATCAAAGTCAATGGCAAGTTATGTCATCATCTCCCTGATGTCATGGTCCTCTTTGAGAACAAAGGACAAACCACAACCTGTGAACACTTAGTTCAACTGCAACTGCTGCCTCTTTTGGCACTTGAAATTAATTTTGAGCATTTTCTGACTTTCTTAGATCTCATCCAGCTTCTAATTCTTCTAGTTTTCCTTTCTCTCCTTGCTACTCCTTGAACAAAACACTTCATCTTCCTACTCCATTCATTTTTCAAGGGCTATCTCCACCATGCCTGGAATTCACTTACTCCTCATTTCCATTTCCTGGTTTCCCTGGCATCCTTCAAGGCCCATATAAAGTCTCACCATCTACAAGAAGTCTTTCCCAATCCCTCCTCATGTTAGTGCCTTTCCCTAAATCTCCAATTTATATTCTATATATCTTGTCTATAGATCGTTATTTGTATGTCCTCTCTCTCATTAGTCTGAGCTCCTTGAGAGTGGGAACTGTTTTTTGGCTTTCTTTGTAATCCAAGGACATAGCCCAGTGCCTAGCATGTAACAGGCACTTAATAATGCTAGTTGACTGAATGACTAATTCTCTTTTCCATCACTTATCTGACTTTCTGTTTACTGATAGGCTTGCAGTGAGCACGGTGTTTAAGTCAACTCATTAGATTTGTTCGATAAACCTAACCTTTCCACGAAATTTATCTGCTACAATCACCTACGGAGTGTTAGGTAAGCATTTCTCCACACTGGTAACAATTGTTCTATCTGAGAATAACTAGAAGTGATTCCTCCCTCCTTGAATTTCTCGGGCCAGTCCATTTGACCTCTTTTTCCTGTACTTGATTGTATTCTAATATATTATAGGTTTTTGTGTGTGTATTTTCCTCTGTTGAGCACTAGGGTTGCCTTATTTTATTTTTTTATCCTTATTGGTTAACAATGTGCCTTACATGTAGCTGATGCTTGATGTATTGAATGTAGTTGAATTTATATAAAATCAGTATAGTTTTCTTCATTTGAATAAGTAAATACTTACTATACAGCAAACGATCAGTCTTTTGTTTTTCATGCATTAGATCCTGGGTTCTTTCAACCACCAACACTTCTAGGTGTTTATTGTACTTTTCCATCTAAGCATCACAAAAAGAAATTGTTACAAAGAATCATTTTGTCCTCTATATAGAATCCATTGGATTTGTTGAAAGACTCCTAAATTGATAGTTGCCTGGAAACAGAGGAGATTCCTTAAAGGAACCTTGCCTTTGGAAGCAACATCCCTTTAAGATTCAATGTAACACATGCCTGTGGAGAACTCTGACTTTACTTTATAGTGGGTGGATCACCCAGATTAATTCTTGACATAGTAATACTAGAAAGTTGCATTATGCAAGCTCATGTTTTCATAAGTTTCAAGGTTGGCTCTTAATGAGATCTGAGCATTTTCCAAACTCACCAAAGTCATCATCATGTCCACTGGACTAACTTTGTTGGGATTCATCTTGTACAGAAGCTTCTTGATTTGTTCAAATGTTGGTCTTTGGGATGGGTTATTTTTCTTGCACTTTCTGATTAGCTGCATTGGTTAGAAAGAGCAGGTAAACATTATAATTAAATGTCATTCTAGATAGAAAGGGGCAGCTAAGTGGTGCAGTGGATAAAGTGCTGTTCCTGGAGTCAGGAGGACCTGAGTTCAAATCCAGCCTCAGACACTACCTGTGTAACCCTGAGCAAGTTACTTATCCCTGTCTTCCTTAGTTCCTCATCTGTAAAGTGAGCTGGAGAAGAAAATGGCAAACCACTCCAATATCTTTGCCAAGAAAACCCCAAATCACACAGAGAGTCAGACATGACTGAAATGACAAAACAACAAAAATGTATATTAATGTATATTATGTCATAATCCTCAACTACACTCTAAACTACAAATTAACATGGATGTAATGAAATACTACTGTAGTGTAAGAGATGATAAATATGAAGAATTCAGAGAAATGGATTTGATGCAGAGTGAAGTAAACAGAAACAGGATAACAATATACACAATGACTACAACAATGCAGAAAGAATGGCAGCAATAACAAATAATAATTAAGTTTGACTACAGAAAATAATTGAGCAAATATGCCTCCTTCCTTTCTTTGTAGAAGTAGGAGACTACTCTTGTGGAAAATTGCACATATCGTCAGATATGGTAACTTTGTTCAAAGTCCGTCTAAGCTCATGTTCATTGCTTCCATTACACCATCTATCTCCTTCTACTTTTGCCTTCAATCTTTTCCAAGATCAGGGTCTTTTCCAAAGAGTCCTGTTTTCTCATTATGTGACCAAATATTTAAGCTTAATCTTCAGTATTTGTTCTTCCAACAAATAGTCTGAATTAATTTCTTCATGTATTGACTGATTTGATCTCCTTGCTGTCCAAAGGACTTTCAAAAGTCTTCTCCAGCATCACAATTTAAAAGTGTCCATTGGCAGCCCTCAGCTTTCCTTATAGTCCATCTCTCAAAGCCATACTAGTAGCCATGCTGCTGGAAAAACCATAGCTTTGATTATGTGAACCTTTGTTGGCAAAGGGATGTCTCTCTTTTTAAGTATGCTGTCCAGATTTGCCATAGCTTTCCTTCCAAGGAGAAGCACATCTTTTAATTTCATTGCTGCAGCCATCATCTGCAGTGACCTTTGAGCCCAAGAATATAAAATTTCATGCTTCTTCCATTTTTTTTATCCCTCTATTTACCAAGAAGTGACCAGGAAGTGATGGGACCAGTTGCCATGATCTTAGTTTTTTTAATGTTTAGCTTCAAACCAGCTTTTATACTCACCTCTTTTCTTCATCAAGAGGCTTCTTAATTCTTCCTCACTTTGTGCCATCAGAGCAGTATTATTTGCATATCTGAATTGTTTTATGTTTCTCCCAGCAAACTTAATTCTTGCTTTTGATTCATCCATCCTGGCATTTCACATGACATGCTCTATATATAAGTTAAATAAATAAGGTGACAATATATAGCACTTACAACCAATCAGTTGTCCCATTGCTTCTGGCCCTGCATACAGGTTCCTCAGGAGATATGTAATATGACCTAGGACTCCCATCTCTTTGAGGACTTGTGACATTTTGTGGTGATCCATGCAGGCAAAGGTTTTAGTGTGGTCAGTGAAACTGAAGTAGATGTGGGTTTTTTGTTTTTGTTTTTTTGGAACTTTCTTGCCTTCTCTATAATCCAGTGAATGTTGGCATTGGTTTCTAGTTCCTCTGCTCTTTCAAAACCAGCCTTCACTTCTAGGAATTCTTAGTTCACATATTGCTGAAGCCTAGCTTGGAGAATCTTAAGTACAGCCTTGCTGGTGTGTGAAATGAATGTAATTGTACAGTAATTTGAACATTCTTTGGCATTGCCCTTTTTTATAATTGGGATAGAAACTGATCTTTTCAAATCCATTGGCCATTATTGAGTTTTCCAAATTTGCTGGCATATTGAGTGCAGCACTTTAACAGCATCCTCTTTTAGGATTTTAAATAACTCAGCTGGAATTTCATTACCCCACTAGCCAACCTGGGGAGCTTGGTGCTATTACTATTACTCACATTTTATAGATGAGAAAACTGAGGCAGATAGTGATTAAGTGAGTCACAAAGCTAGTAAATGGAATTCATTGGATTTGAACTCAAATCTTCCTGACTCCAAGCCCCAGCCTTCTATCTATCCATTGAATCACCTATGAAACAATCCCTATTTGCAATAAGCTTACATTCTGAATGGGGAGACAACAAAGACATTTTGTTGTCTAAAAATATTTTGCTGTCTAAAAATATTTACAGCATAAATACAAAACTGATAAATATATGTGAAATAGCTAAATGCAAGGAGAAAGGATGCTAGCAGTTAGGGAGGGGAAGGTAGATCATGAAAGGCTTAACATAAAAGTAGGTACTTAAACTGCATCTTAAAAGAAAGAGGAATTATATGAAGCAGAAACAAAGAAGGAGTGTGTTTCAGGCATATGGGACATCCAGCACAAAGGCAGAAAGACAGAATGGGGTGTCTTGTGAAGAACAGAGAAAAAGTCAGTTTGAGTAAATTGCAGAGTGTGATATGGGAAATAACATCCAATAAGGCTAGAGTTTATATTTTATCTCAGAGGCCTCTGGAATTGATCGAGTAGGAAAGTAACAAGATCAGTTGTATGCTCAAGAAAAATTTATTTGTAAATGTTATTATTTGTAAAATTTATTAATTCTAAATTTTATTTATAAATTTTATTTATTTTAACAAGGGCCATCCCCCAAATGATAAATGGTCAAAGCTCATGAATGGGTAGTTCTCAAATGGAGTGCAAGCTATAAACAATATAAAAATGCTCTACATCACTAATAACTAGAGAAATACCAATTAAAACAACTTTGAAATTCTACCTACAGATTGGCAAAATTGACAAACAAGAAAAACAGTAATTTTTGGAGAAGTTGTAGAACTCAAACACATAAATGTAATGGAGCTATGAACTGGTTCAATTATTCTGGAAAATAATTTGAAACTATATCAAAAAATTAACTGAACTATACATACCCTGTGACTCATTCATAATTCCAAGGAAATCAAGAATAAAGGGAAAAGGACCTATTTTACAAGAATATTTGTAATAGTACTTTTTGTAGTAGCAAAGAACTGGAAACAAAATAGAAGCACCCATAAACTGGAAAATGACTGAAAAATTGTGAATGGTATATTCTTGCACAAGAAAAAAAATAATGAATGATGGATTCAGAGAAACATGAGAAGGCTTTTATTAACTAAAGCAAGGTCAAATAAGCAGAACTAGGCACACAATTTGTGTGATGACAACAAATAATATGAAGAAAAACAGTTTTTTAAGATCTCAGAATTATGCTCAGAATGACAGACAATAGTGATTTCAAAAAACCTATGAGGATACATACCTCTCACCTCTTTAAAGAGTTAACAGACTACAGATTGAGAATGAAATGTGTATTCTCAAACATAACCAATGCATTGTTTTGCTAGACTATACATATTTAGCACAAGGAAATGCTTCACCTCAAGTAGGTGGGAGCCAAAGCAAAAAGGATCACCAGTAAATTTTAAATTACTTTAAATTAAATTAAATTAAATTACTTTAAATTTCACAGAATAAAACAAAAAAGGGACAGAAGGGAACACAGACAAATAGTGCAGTTTTGTAACTATCTTGTTACAGAAAGGGATAAATACTGGACCCAGAATTCCATTGTTTAGAGAACTATTAGGGGAAGTAACTTCCTCTACCAATGCAGGTTGGCTTTGTCTCTGCAATGTCTACTCTTATATGCCTGTATTTATATAAGCAACTTGCCCAGGGTCTCAGGATATGTTAGAGGCAGTATTTAAATGCAGATCTTTCTGGCTTTGAGGCAAACACTGTTTCTCTTAGTCTCTGTCTCTATCTATGTCTCTGTCTCGATAGATAGATAGATAAATAATATACATTGATATATGGACTTTTTTATTAATATTTTTCTTATTCTTTTTGGTATACTGAGATTTTCATGTTTATTGGAAAGTTCAAATTTTTTTAAAAAACCATAAATTCAATTTTTAAAAACTAGACTGGACTGTGTTGGGAGGTAGTGGATTTCACCTCACCAGAATTCTTTGAGGAAAAACTGGATTGCAGACAGGATTCTTGTTTAGGTATTGATTGGACTGGATGGCCTCTGAGCTCCTTCCTACCTTCAAGTTCTGTGGTTCTGTATGATTCTATGACTTTCTCAGTATCAAATCAAATCTAGACCTACTTACTCCCCATCCAGTACTCAACACCACATTTCCATTGCCTTTACTGAACTTACTCATACTTCTCATCTTCCCCTCTAACTTCCTCACTAGTCTTCTCTAATGCTTTAGAAAGGTAAATAAATATAATCAGTTAAAATACCCCTAAAATGATACTTACTAATCAACTGACCATTTCACAAGCATTGTTGTCTAAACATTTTTTAGTCTTGTCCAACTCTTTGTGACCCCATTTGGGGCTTTCTTGGCAAAGATACTGAAGTGATTTGCCATTTCCTTCTCCAGTTCGTTTTACAGATAAAGAAACTGAAGCAAACAAGATTGAGTGGCTTGTCCAGAGTCACACAGGTAGTAAGTGTCTGAGGCTCTGTCCATTACTCTAACCCTATTGCATTTAATAAGGGCCTATTACATGCCAGACACTACACTAAACACGGAGATACAAAGAAAAAAGTGAGACAGTACTTGCCTTTAAGGAGAAAACAACATGTGTGCATGTTAGCATGTATAAAATATATTCCCAATAATTACAAGGTAATTTCATTGGTGGTGTATAGATTGGACTTTAAAGAAAGCTAGGAGCAGCTAGGTGGTGTAGAGGATAGAATAAAGGGCCTGGAATCAGGAAGACTCATCTTCCTGAGTTCAAATCTGGTCTCAGACACTTACTAACTATATGACCTTGGGCAATTTCCCCATCTGTAAAATGAGCTGGAGAAGGAAATAGCAAACCACTCCAATACCTTTACCAAGAAAACCCCAAATGGGGTCACAAAGA